TGAGCCCACTGTTCATTGATGTTAGCCCATAACAGCTCACAGCCAATGTGACAGGCCCTTGGACTGTTCCTTACGTTTCATCATAGCCATTCCAAAAACAATGGGGTTCCATTTGTGCCAGTGGGAAATTGAACTGAAAATAAATTGGGCAAGGAGTTGTCAGCTGGCCAACAGTTTTAGTTTGTAACTACTGCCCAAGGTGGAAAAGGATCCAGGCTAGATATCCACCAAATTGGGCAAGAAGTATTTCTTGATCCCAGAATGCTTTAAGGGAGTCTCTTCCTCTTTGCACTGGAAAAGGCTTTTCCCAAGCTTGTGCTATTTGTGAAACTTAATGTTAGGGTATGAAAAGCAATCATAAAGGATATGGTTCCTCACTTATGGTTCTTAGTTATTTTTTTAAATGGATATATTTCTCTGGGTATGACTACATTAAGCAAATCTATCTCCTCTTTTTTCCCCTCTCCTCATCCTTTTCTGCATCCCTATTCTGTCTGTTAAACTGGGATCTGCACTGTAGGCACTGCTCGAGCAGTTCAGCTGACATGGAATTGATACCAACCTTAAGAAACCTCAGCTGACACACCATCTGCATCTCTCACAGCACCCAACTGCCTTCAGAATCCACTACCTGGCTGAGGAGGTCACATCACCTACCTATCACAAGCAATGGTGATGAGGATAAGTGTTGCTGCAGCACCTTGGGAAGCATGAATGTCCAGTTCTTCTCCATTCCTTGTTTTTCTCCATTTCTTGCTTTACAGGTATAACTTGCTTCTTTTTTTTGTATTTCAGCAAAACCAGGATGTGATGTTGATCCATTGATGAACCATGACGCATCTCCAATTTACACATGTGCACATACATAATGGGGCTACTTCAAAACAATCCAAGGCCACTTTTAACCCGCTTTTCCTCTTTATACTCCTCTGAGATGCAAGGTGACATCATTCCATAAAAAAAAAGTATTGAGCTAGTAACAAAATACAATTAGCCTTTGCCAGTCTTTGGAATTGATACTTGTCACTACAGCTGTGAGTGCTGCATTAAGCTGCCGTACTTGAAAAAAAACAAACAAATAAATCTCACTAAATCTGTCACTGTTGTCAGGTGAGTGGTTTTCCTCTTCCCAACAGAAAAATGTCACTCATTTTTTACTCCAAGCAGCTGTTTAGCTCCCTAGTTCCTAGAGTGAAGCGGAGCCTCTGCAGGGCTTTTTCTCTCTAGGGTACTAAGATTTGGACTCCTTCATGCAACTTTTACTTAAAATTCAAACGTTTCTTCAAACTGAAGTTGAATTAAACTCCAAAAGGTGTTATTTCACTAGTTCCTCAGAAGATTGCCCACCCTCCCATGCTCCAGCATGCCTGCTGTGCCCCCTTGGCAGTGACTGAGGGCTGCTGCAGCCCAGCCCTTCCCTGCTGTGGCTCACTTCTTCCTCAGACCCTTTGGAACCCCATTAGGAACCTGGCTTCAGGCTCTCCTCAGGAGACTGCAGCAAGCAATCCACCCAGATTTCTCAGTGTGACATGAGCACAACCAGGCTAATGTGGCCCCTTGAGTTCAGCCAGGACCCTCACCCAACAGCAGCGAATTCCAGTACCTGAGTTCCAGTCAGCACAAGCCCACTTTGGTACAAACCTTTATTATCTCACACCTCCTTGCCACAGCTATCATTGAAACGACTGACATTCATATTTTACAGGTACCATAAAAAGTTATGAAGTGTAAACTGTGCTGTGTAGTTCACAAAGTAAAAATACTCGAGGATTGACTTTCTGTCAATGGATTTTGGCACAGAGGTGTTCACTCACACAGAGGGAACAGGCAGGAACTCCATCCTGAGTGTGTCAGGGAGGCAGTGTTGGCACAGCTGAGGCAGAGCAGCTCCTGCTGATGGATGGCTGCCTTCCCTGGAACTACCTGTGGCATTAAAAGGCACCAAGAGAACACCCCAGGAAGCAGGCCCCAGGCAGTGTGGCATCCCCCCAGGAATGTGATTGCTGCCCAGTTCTTCCAGTTGCAGCTGGGAGAGGGTGTGTCACCATTCCTGCCAGCTCCTTGCTCTTGCTTTGCCCAGCATGAACTGACACTGGAGACACTTACTCCAACAAACAAATGGGCTGGCTCCTTGTGCCTGCAGCAGTGCTGGGATTGGTGCCTATGGCAGCCAAAATGGGTCTGTGGCTGCCAGGCTCAGGATTGCAGGGCTGCTTTACAGATCCACACACTAACATAGAGGTAAATATTTTACATGACACCATGTCTATCATGTTTAGAGACAGTCCTGGGTACACTAGACAATTGGTTAATAAAAGGTAGTTTGGAAGGACCAACATAACATGCAGTGGTAACTGAGCAACAATGACTATTTGAGTTGTTTGGAGATTTTGTTGGTTTGTTATTTTTTTTGTTGGGTTTTTTAGTTTTTGGGTTTTTTACCATCTCCATTGTTACAAAGCAATGACAACATCAGTAGCCAGAGCAACACAGTCCCTACTTGTCCTACCTGAGCCAGTTAGAGATGGTACAAAGAGCTCACAGATAATTTTCTCATGGAATTCAGAGGAAAGCCTGTTTATAGGGTACCCTTTGGACCAGATACTGTCCCAGAATCAATATTCCCTAGAAGTTTTGATTAATTTAATCAACAAAAAACATTGTTACTTTCCATCCTCAACCTCATGCTAATATTTTTTAATTTACAGCCTGATCTTCTGTATCATTAAGGTAATGGAAAAAGAACAGACAGAATGAGAGGAAATATCTCATTAGAGCAGATGATCTATGAGAGACCAGTCTGACATGGATTTCAAATTCTTCTTTCATGAGTACTCATCTCTACTCATCAGGGCAGGCAATAAAGAATCAAATCCAAAGGAAATTTCACATAGCTGGTTAAGAAAAAGCAACTGCTCAAGAATCATCACTTTGTACAATCCTCAGGAGCCTGAGACCTCTTCCCAGGTAACAAACCTGCCATGTCTGACCTCTCCAGACACATGCCCTTTCCAGAGCTGAAACAGTCCTGACCTTAAGCTGGTGTCAAATATGCACAGCCACAGTGATTCCTCTTCTCAAACCCTGCTCCTAAACCCCATTTTTGCTGAATGATGAGCCATCACTCAGTATTTTCCATGCATAGAGACTAGAGATCTCTACCCAGGGAAAGGTGAGCAGAAAGTGAGGAAGCAAGATGCCTACACCACGGTAATCATCAGCGATCAGCAAAGGTGTGGGAAGGGAGGGCAAGCACACAAGGCACCAAGAAAGCTCAGGTAGAGGTGAATTGAGGGCACACTGACAGCAGTCTGTCAGGGAAGAGGGGGTTCTTCAGGCACTGCAAATTCCAGCCCTGGTTCCCAGAATGATTGTGTCACTGTAGAGAAAATGAGAGCACAACTCAGTGTTGGCTCAGTGTTGTTTACATCTGGATGACAAATAGGCACAAGAAGGAAGAGCCCTCATAAGGAAAACAATTTGTTGCTGGAGGGTTTTTGAAGCACATAAATCTGCTCTGTCTGGCAAATACTTGTTTGGCTTTGGGGCGTTGGTTCAGTTGGAGTTCACTTCATAGAAGTAATTTCCACTCTTGTCTTTAAACACCTTCATCTTCCTGAGATATTTTCTTTCCAGAGCTCTACCTTGTTCTTAAAGCCTCAGCTGTGTTTCTTCTAAGAGCCTCCAGCCCATCAAATACATGAGGTGTCCAGTGCTGCTGTTCCTGGAGCACCTCAGTGCTCAACTGAGCCAACTGAAGATGAGCAGGCTGCCTGACAAGCCCATGCATAACCTGTTAGAGCACCTAACTGATAAAATATTCAGGCACCAAAACAGCTTAAAGCAGAGCAAAGTTTTCACTAACACCAGATCTGCAAAGTCCATAGGCAGACAGAAAGCATGTACAAATAAAAGGATTTATCTCATAAAAATTCAGTAATATATTACAATTCTTTCCATACATACACAATAATCTCCAAGACCTAGGCATTTTCACTGAAAAATAGTTTGGCTAAGATTTTTTCTTTTCTTTTCTGAAGTGGATATCCACATGTAGGATAAACCTTTTCTCAAATTCAGGTACCTGCTTTCTACACAATGCATCCTCCTAACCTGCTGTACGCTAGAGCTATGCTCACACTGCCTTGGCACTGCAGCTGTGTCACCCTGCAGCTCCAGCTTAACACATACTTCCCTACATCTGTGAGTGGGGAAAAAAGGCATTATCAAGAACAATTTCCTTGGTGAAATTTCAGAATTGACTGAACAAATTTGGCTCCCTTTCCTTTTGTGCAAGTGCTTGACATAGGATCATTTTTAATTTGCACAGGATGAAGAGTTCACATGATTCCCTCACTTCTCCTGCCATCTCTTCTGAGGCTGAAACTACCAAAGCTGCTTCATCTTCCAAACTTATGATCCAAAGCACAGATTGTCCAGAAAAGTCACATCATTCAGTGCTTCCCACCACCCAGCACACACATGCACACAAAAATCTCAACACACTGTTCTCCAAACAAAAGGTTTGCTCTGCTCCATGACTTGGACAAATCATTTTTGCCAATATCCTATTCAAGGCTGAAGGCTCCTATTTATTCTTGAATTCTCATGTAAGCTGTTTACAGTAGCCATCTGCTGAAAACATACACCTTCATTCCTGTGGAAGAGCAGCAGGGTTTCTGTCGTTCAGAAAACAACCTGATGTAATGTTTGATAAATGCTGGTAAATCTCTCAACCTCTAATCAAAGACTTCTTGAGTTTATACTTCTGCTACTGATCTCACGCTGTGGCAATTTCCTGTGCTCAAGCTGTGAGCAGGTACCATGGTGGTAAGGACATCTGAGTGGAGTCTCTCACTCGTATTCCTGGCACACATGAACCTGAAAGAACAACTCAAAACAGCACTGGCTTCGAGGCTTACATCTCAATGATCCCTCCCCCCACCGCCCAAGAAAAAGATAAAAATCAATAAATCATCTAATAATCCCTTCTTAAAAGTATTCCTTACATAAGGATAATTACAGGTTGCAAACTATGGATTGCAAGAAAGACATCTTTCAGCAGACACTGTTTCTTCGCATGAAATTCAGAATTACAAATTGTAATTTGCTACTCGAAGATGAGAGATTTATGTGCAGGGATGCCATAATTGCTTTTATGTTCTTCAAATAATTTCTTTAGTTTCTGTAGATACAATGCATGTAGCTGATCAATGTCTTCAGTGGTGGGGTTCAAGTTCTGTTTTACAGGGATGGGGCTTCCCACTGTAAATCAAACACAACAGCATTAGCTTAATTGACATCTCTTTTTAAGCAGAATTGCTGTCTCTTCTCTAAGTGCTCCACCACAGCTCCCACCCAGATGGCAGAATCACAGCACCATTTTCTTGGGGCCTGATCGTGCCTTTCACAAGCCTAAGTCCTAGGTCTGGTTTTTCATTTCCTTTTGCTCAAGTTCAGGTAAAATGAATTAAACCTCCCCCCAACATTTCAGTTTGGCAGCAAAAAAGCAAATGAGAAGAGTAATAAGCTCTAACTTGAGGGAGCAGTTTACACTTCAAGATACAATCCTATGTGTTATGTGCTGCCTACAAGTTCAACACAGTATTTTAAAAAATGTACTTTCTCACTCTTCTGTTCTGATCTGAATAGTAAAACTACTCATTGTGAGGGACATGCTTAAGAGGACAGTGATGCCCTCAACCACACAGTCACATGAACAGGACTGAAGGAAATATTTATCTTCCAATGTATTCAAAATGTGTATCACTGCACTAGGAATATTGTTGGTGACCTCAGCCTAGGGAGGGGTAGCACATAAATCCCCTAAACCCTCTGAGGTGTCTCTGAACCATCCATTGCCCATATATGTCACTGGAACCAAAATGTTCTCCAGGCACTGTGCAAAGCCTGCTACCTGCACCATGGGAGGTGACTCCATGGAATTCCAGCCTTCTCTTCTACAAAGAGCTGTGGCTAGAAAGTGGATTGCTAAGAGAAGCTTCCCATGATCTCAGTCTTTCCTGTGTTGTTCAATCACCAGATTTTCACTGCTGTTTTTGTACTGGAAGCACCAAGATCTTAACAGACCTGACTAGGACTACAGAGGAACTCTAGAAAAACAGAGAGCTAAAAGCACCCTCAGGATTTTTCCAAAGGCACCTGAAAATTCCTTTTAACACATGTTGCCACTTTAGATTGGATGGTGATGACTAAAGGGAAGCCTAGCCAGAACCACAAAGAGCTGAGCCTGCATTTTCCTGCAGTTCCAGCTGCCATCAGCTCTCAGGCCCTGTGTGGTGCTGAAACTCAGACTTTACATGGCTGAGGTGGGAACCCAGCCCTGGATTGAGCAATACCTTAGAGGGGTGTGAAATCAATATAAATACAATACAGGATTTCCAGAGGCAGGACTGGAAACAGTCAACAGCCCCCAAACCCTTCTGCAACAGTCTCTGTTCCCAAGAGTGAAGATTTCTTGTGGAATTGAAAACTACACTCATCTCTCTAATGTTATGTGCAGCTTTAAGGAACTTCCTTAATTTGATAGAGTTGTTTCTACTTCTGAAAAGCAGTTATTAAAAAAAAAAAAAAAAAAAA